CTTATCACCATCTGCAAACCAACAACTAATGGCCCCTTTGAAGTGACAGGATTTGCTCAAAAGAAACAACAAATTCTTGAAATTCTGCATGACCGAATTTGCCAAGTCGATAGGCCTGAACTGACTGTTCTTTCCCCTCATATAAATTGACCCCGATGTTGCAAAGCAAAGGAGGCTTTCAAATTGCATTACACATGCAAAAAAAAAAAAAAAAAATGCTCCTAGGGTTTATTACATTCTGTCTTAGGGCCAAACCAACTGATTCTCTAATTTGGACATGCCAAAGAAAACCTGTTCTTTAATTCATGACTGTTCCCACTGCTGTCAGGAAGCGCTGGGGTAAGTCTCGTGTCAGAAAAACATTCATTTCTATGTACTTCAGAAAGACAGGCAGCAGCACAGGTGTAGTAACTAGAGAGAGCCTGAATAGAGTTGTTGGTAGGACACCCAGAGATAACTGCTGCTATCCAAAATACAATTAAGAAGGTCAGACCAGTCACTGGCTTCAGAATCTCAAATCCTTTTCCTGCTCAGCTTTGCAATTTTATTTATAGCAGAACTATTTCCTGAGAATGAATATCTGGAATACCATTCATTTTTGAGGTAGAAAAAAACTCAGGCAGAGGTTTACAGTATTGTAGCTCATAATGCCAATTTAATTCAGCAATTTTAATGGATGTCTGCAGATATGAACACTATTTTCAATATAACAAACCAGATAAGCAAAAAACTTGATGAAGTCATTCAGATAGCTCTATCTCCAAGACCACAAGGTGGGTATGCAACTGCACTGATGTTAACCTAAGATCAGAATTTGGCTTTGCCTCCTACACCAGTTGCTAAATACTGTACTGTACGGTGCCTAGTACTCCACTTTTAGTCTATCAATACATTTCCAGGTTTCCAGAGGCTGCTGATCCCACTGAGCTTCAGCACACACTACTTTGCTGGTCTAGACTAGTACTGTTCAGGGACATTACAGAACTGAGTCTCCTGTGTCTCTGTCAGACACAGGTCTATGGTTTCTTTGATAAAAGTCGCAAGACTTGACCTACCTAGAAGATAATTTTTACTATACTTTGATAGAGGTGGAGTCCCATGAATGGAGGAGAGTTTGCCTGGAAAGTAGGCAAGCTTTAAAGACTCTGTGTCAGCTTTGAACTCTAGGAGCGACAAAGGGTCCTCTCAGAAAAGAGGGAATGTCCAGATACTCTATTTTTTTGGATACATAGCAAACTCAGCACCTTTTCTGCCTCAGAAACACCTTTGCAAGTTGTTACACTTTAGAAGGTCAACATAAAAGATCTCTGGGGCTAGAACCCGCTTAACTGAAGCTGCCAGACATGAATTGTCTATGGAAACCACTGGGACTTAAATGTGCTGAAGACAATGCACAGTTAACCCAGAGAAAACATCATTTGGTTTCGTCCAACACAATTAAGCAACACTGGCTACAGCACTGTCTGTTGAAAATGAAGTAGTTAATAGGGAACCTGTTTTTTTGTTACTGTAATAAATTCAATCTCTCATCAAGACAGTGAAGAAAAACTCCACCAGGACTGCTACAGCTCTGCATTCTAATAGCTTTCTTACATGCCAGATGACATTTGACAGTATTAATGCAAATATACACGCTGAAGCAATTATATACTGATGAGAGATGTGCTCCCATGTCAAAGAGAACTGTAAGTACTTCTGAGAACTGAAGTATCTGGCATCCAGCCTCAGTGCTCTCCTGCATACACATGGGAAGACACAGGCATGCATCAACAATGCATCAAGCACAGGGTGTAAAAATATATAGTGTTGTTACTGGGGTTTTTTTGTTTGGTTTTGTTTTGCTTTTAATAAAAAAATTATCTGGTTAAGTGTTTGTGGAGTGTATGAAAGTCCTTTCTAAAATTCCCACACTAGAGTGTCAATCTGATGGTAGCAAGCACACAGCAATATTGTAGGTAAAGGGAACAGAGCAGCAACAGAGCACAGGGCAGGAAAACACAAGGACATTTCCTGAAAGCTATGCTTACTGATAACAGATTTTAAGCCAGTCAGGGAGAAATCCCATAAGCAGGAAAGAGAGAGTGAGAATGTGTATCTATGGATAAAAGGAAGATGTTTGAGAGGCTGGTGTGCATCATATTTTCCCTGTTGTACTAAATGAAATATAAACTAAAATGGCATGAAGATACCTGATCCACAGAGTTGCCTACCCGTGCTCTTCCACCACCCATTTTGCACCACATGTGCCGGGCAAGCTAGCTATGAATCTAGTTACTTGATCTTGATGCTTGTATTAGCCCTACAGGGGAAAACTCCTGGCTGTAGCTTCCAGAAGATGAAAAATCTAATGCATCTATCTCTCACCTTCAAGATAAAAACATTTCTATCTATTTTATCTTGAATATTAATCACATCTTGCCTAGAATTCCTAAGTGACTGAATTTGTAAAATGTGTGCACTTCTCACAAATCCTGATTGCTGCTTTCAAAGGGGAAACCTCTGAATTAATATTGTGAGATACTGACGAGCCTCGGAGAGCTTCATGAGGGTTAGCAATCTGGCCACAGTGCACAAACATCCCTGCAACATACACAGTGTGAAGAGGACATTATTTGTCCTGTCCACGTTTAATGAGATGCAAACAAAAACTGTCAGATGCTGAAGGGTGTTTGATGCTGATCTGCTCAGATCAAAATACAGGTTTGTCCTGTCTAGAAAGCCTCCAAGAAAAAGGGTAAAGGACAAATGAAGTAGAGTCAAGATTCTGCCCCAACAGTTGGTATCTCTATGAGTGTGAATTTCAGTGGAAATGGATAAATATCCCTAAATTAAAGGAAAGCCAAAACTGAATTTTATTTTATTTTTTAATTTGCAGCTGAAGAAACAAATGCAACTAATTATTCAATGTCCTTACTCTAGCATTTCAGCAAACACTTAGCATGAAACATAAAATGCTAAAACAAACCTATACACCAAGATGACCTATTTGGAGCAACTAATCTACATTAAAACACATCAAGATTACCTACTTTTAATTAATTTTTCAATCCATTAAAATACTAAATTCAGAAAAGGAATAGCACACTTACATGTGAGCAAGAGATTAACATCTTTCTTAGTTGTAAAAAAAATTATGCTTGAAAATTACATCGCAAATTATTATCTCATACTCTGAAGCTCAGTGCAATAACATCTATCAGGTAGGTAGAACTCATGACAATTGGGTAGATACACATGATTACACATTTTCTGAGAAAAAAAGGCCTATTCTGGATGCAGAGCAAAATAATATTGTACATTCTGTTAGGGAATAGCTGAACTTTTTAAAATCTAAACTGTAGGTGGCTGCAAGTATACCTGCAGCTGTTCATAAAATAAACTGCTGTGCTTGTGCTTTATGGGAAGTGAAGGCACTCTGAGTCACAGACTGGATTCCATTGAAAGACAATAGACAAGTATGTTTTCAGTTGGTGAAGTGTATTCTGAAACTTATGGAAAAAAAAGATAATTTATCCAAATTTTCCTGCAAGATTACATTAAATATATGGATTCTAAGCAAGCAGGCTAATTCTTACATGGGTACTACTTAAAAGCTAATTCTGGAAGGCAGAAGTTGACCCAAAAATGATGCAGCAGTGGGGAAGCATGGTTTCTGGCAGGTGGGAGGTCAGCAGAGAAGTCACTGTGAGTTAAGAAACAGATGAATTTACTTCTACCAAGTGTACAAACACACTTGGTAAGTGGAGCTGAATGACCCCACAATTGCTGTAAGCCAGAACCACCGTAACAGGGTGGAGCACGAAGCAAGAAGCATGGTGGAAGCTCTTGCTTGTCGCTTACTTGGCAGGACAGAGCTTCTGTAGCTCACTTGCTGCGAAGCTGATTGTCTACTACTCTGCTGAGAGCTCCCTTCTTTCCTCCTTCTGCACCCAGTGCCTGCTCAAAGCTGCTTCTTTTATGAGGAAAGGTGGTAAGGAGAAGCAGGTCTGGCTATGACCTGGTAAACAAGATCAAGTCATTAAAACTTGGAGCTGAGTTGACCAGTGAAAACGATGAGCTGGAAGGAGGACAGAGAAAGGTTTTAGGACACTTTTAGCCAAAAGGCTGAGCTATAAATTCCACTAATCAGTACAATATTTGCAGGTGGCATCTAAAGGACACCGCATGTCCTCCAAAGAGCCAACAGAAGAAAATTTGAGTCGTGAGTGCTACAGAGTTGCATTTTTTGTTTTTTTGTTTCCTCTCTTTTAATATACAAAGTAACTCATGAATCATGAGAATCTCATGAATCTGCTCAGGGTTCCAAAGTGAAAAATGTAATTCCTTATTTTTTAAATTAAACCAAGCAAACACGAAATCAGTGACTGAGGTTTTTTTCATAGGTATCCCAGTGCCTGTCAGGAGACATGGTTCCTTCTGCTTACCTGAGAGAAGGCCTCTGCTTCTTCTCAGAGTTTCTTACTTCTTCATTAGCTTTGCTTTCAGCTCTATGCCGGGCACTCTGCAAATCTGCCAACAAGAGCAAGTACATTATTCACACATTACTGTCCTTGCTGATCAGCATAACAAGATACATTGCAAGTATCCTTTTCCTGTCAGTAGATCAAGATGTAACGTATCATTTTGTGTAACCTTTTCCCAAGTGCCTTCATCCACAAGACAGATTTTATGCAGACATAAGGACAGACTGCAGGGCATGAGTCAGGGTTAGGCTGCAAGCCATGTGACAGGTTAAATGAAGCCACATTCATGCTGATATACTTGTCCCTCAGGAGGTTTTGGTAGTTTGGAGCTCAGTGCTGTGTTAATGCATTACACAACTCCCCAGCAGCACAAATTTGCTCATGTCTGCACTTGACTGAGTCCATGTAGGTAGGTATTAAAACATACAGAGGTAACAAGGCTCTTCTTTTTGGATAAGAAGCCCACATTTTCTACTGAAGTATTATTTTAAAATATTTTAATTTAGTACTACTTAATCTCCTGCAGTAATTATGCTGATACAACTATTACTAGAGTGCAATTCTTATGCATAAATTCATCAAGGTTACTTATGTTTAACTATTTATTCTTATCCAGCAGCAGTGCTAGCTATGCACTTGCAAAAAACATTTTATACCACTACACCTGTTTCCATACAAACTGAGTGCTCAAGTGTCAGCAGAGTTAAAATGGTGCAAGCTGAAAAGGCTTTACATCTGCCTTGCAGCACACAAACAATTTCACAACCATGGGTTATTGCTGTTGCTGAAAGAAAGCAATCAATCAGGAGAGGGAACCCTAATTTGCTTAAAAGACATTGAAAGGAAAGTAGACAATTTTGTACCTGGAATCTTAAAACAGGTTTGTGAGGTTCAAAGTCCCTACATGACTATTTGCCTCTAAGTTTGCCTCTAAGCTGTATTGACAAAATATGAAGATAGATTTTTAAGAGATTCTGGAAGTTTTTTTGTGTATTTTCCAACAGCTGATTTACCATCCTTACCAGTATGATTTAACAAGATACTCTTTTTCTTCTGGCTGCCATCTGGTGCAACAGTCAGTTTCACTCGCAGAGTTTTGCTGGAACTAGGAGAATGGTTTACTGATGCATCAACTACCTCATAGATGGTATGAAGCAAGCTGGTAATATCCTATAGTTGGGTTGAAACACAAAAAGACACACAATTGTGAAAAAGGTATGAAATCTACAGTTCTGAAACTTAGAACCGTTTTGGACTTGGGGCCTTTAAATGCTGAAATATCCTCAGAAGTCCCTGAACTTAAAAAGGTAAACTTGCCCAGAACCTTACAAGAAAAGATCCATTTCTCTACTATGTTATTCCTAATTTTTCCAATATAGACTCTAATATAGCTCACAGACACAGAAAACGCTTATTCAAGTACATTCCATATTCTTCTTCATCAAATGGCATAAGATGTATTAAATGGGGCAAACCAGATCAAAACAATAATAAAAACACAAGCCATTCAAGGTTTCCCCAGCTATGAATCTACAGGATTGTGTTCTGCCTTTTCTTTTATTTGGTTTCAACAGAAACCAGGGATAACCTTTCATACTGCACTGAAAATTGAATTCACATGACCAAAACAAATCCAGCAACTGAAGAAAGTCTTGGATATAACAGTCTTGGTACTTTTTGGGTTTTTTTCTTGTAATACTTAACTGGTTGATTATCTAGAGGAAAACCAGTAGCAGAAGTGGCAGATATGTAAACCTCGGGTTTGGAAGTAAATTATGTCTGAATGTCACTCTACTGTACACATATGGCAATGTAGCTTATTTGCAAAACTCAGACTAGTTCTAAACTTTTATTTTTGAACAGCAGAGATTATCCAGTCAGGTCTGTTACAGAATATTCTTCACACACCTCTCTGAAGGCAATGGGGCATGACCAAATGCTTACATGTCTGGCTATACCAGAAAGAACACTAGCCAATTTTAATAAGCCATTTGGTTCAAACAGGAGAAACACTGCTTAGTAGCTGGTGATGCTCAATGGTCTCTCAGGTTGATCTAACCCAGCTAGGCTCAAATAGGGTACTACCTATTGCCAGGTTGAAAAGGAGATCTTTTGGCTCACTGGTTTTCCCCAGAGGGATTTCACCAAAATTGATTTGGGGCACCAACATAAGGCCAAAGCATATTGATCATTGCAGGCTATAAAGACCCCATGCAAAGTGTATCTGAGAATTTAACCTGTTTCTTTGATTAAACCTAGTATCTAAGTTCCTTCCAGATGCCTATGAGCACAAAGGAAATATTGAAATAATCCTTCATTAAGTGTAACTGGTTCTGAGGATAAAGAGTCATGTCTACAAACATTCAAAACCTCTACAACTTCTCCTTAGTCCAGGGGTCATGCCCACAAGAGCAGCTCAAAGTATAGTGTGCCCTAATAGGTCCCAGCACTTCAGTAGTCAGTGTAAGACACACTCCTCATCTAATCAGCTTTAAAGGTGATACAGAAACACTAGTTTCTGCTCACACAGGATTTAGGGAAATACTGACCTTTTAGCTGGGACAAATGGTTTTACAGTAGGTGATTTTCCAGCTTAATATACAGAATGAATAACTAAATCCTAAGTGGGTCCAGGCCTTGTTTTAACATGTACCCTCTCTATGGAATTTCTCCAGACTTGTAAGTTCAAGATAACATATTCATAAAAAGAGAGCAGAATTTGCCATCTATCTTATTTCCCTACTGACTTATTTTAGTACCACTGCCACAAGAGTCTCTCTATATGAGCTGTTACTATCATCCCAGTAGCAGCTTCCTATGATTGTGACAAGAGCAACCGTCTAAAGCTTGAACTAGGGAAA